CTACTTGTGGACGCACATCTGCTGTTTTACATGAGTGTGAAAAAGTGCATTCACATTTTTATAAGGGTGAGTCTTAGCCTCTCTGAGCTTCTGTTCCATCCTCTCAGAAACAGATTTACTTTCCCTATATGGCTGTTGAGAAGATTAATTCATTAAAATCTGTGCAAAGCTTTCAGATTCTCAGATGGAAGAGGCTAAAGAAGTGCAAAGTATTATATATTATCCCCAGTGCGGCAGTTGCTGTTTTTCCTTTTATGTTTGAATGGATCTTAACATCTTTCCCAAAGCACATCATTGAGTGTTATTTTAAACTGTATTGCTGAATACCCAGTATCCCTTTAACAAAACCAGCTTTTTCAAACACCAACATCTCTATTAAAAGTTGCCACTACCCATAAATTTAAGTAAAAAAATTCTGAACTTCAGAAACAAGCCCATCTTTCAGGTGTTTAAGGTCATTTTGGCTGCCAAGCTCTTTACCTGCACAGCTCTTCCGAACAGTGGTTTTTGGCTCTGCATCTGTCAATAACAGTGTACAAAAGCATTTTTTCAGGGGACCACAAAGATTTTTTAAATGGTTTCTGCGATATAAGACCAAATTCAGATCTGATGTAAATGGGTTTGATTTCATGGAACTCAGGAGTTATAATATTTACACCAGGGCTATATTTGGCTCAGAGTTTCTATATTTTTAAAAAATCAATATTAAGATTCTGGACGTTTCCCCTCTCCTATTAGATCATAACTATATCAAGAGAGAAAATATTTTGAACCAGAAAGCCTTGATAACGTCCTTTGAAGTTCACTGTTAACACAACAGTAGCTAGGTGAACATTTTTGGGCTAATTTTTGGAAACACACTGCTTTCTTCAAGAATTATAGTTTAGTAATAAACCAAAAGTGCCATACTTACAGCATGCCAACATTCAGAATGTTAAACTAATGTGTTTCTTCTGTCCCTTTGCTCTACAAATCTCTTTTTAAGAATGCACTTCAGGACTCAGACTTTGTATGCCAAGTTCTGGACTAACACAGTTACACATTTCTTTAAAAACAAATTTGAAAAAATTCTTAGACAAAAACATGTTTATAAAGCTGCCATTCAACAATGCTATATCTTAGTGTTCTATTACAGTGTTTTTAAAAAAAACTCATACAAGCATTTCATATTGATGTTTACAATCTTTCTGAAGCTGTCTATTGAAAATTCTGTGCCCTTTCTATCACAGAATTCCTATGCAAAGAGCCATTGAGAATTGACTGAAAGACCCTACAGAGAAAGGGAAATGCGGTGTCAAGTAAACTGTATTTAAAAACACTGAGTTAATTTATTTAATCCTATTTTAAAGTACATTTACTAATGGAGCCGTTTTGGAAACAGTCTTTTCCTATGAAGTGGAACAGAGTGTAGCAGACAGCAAACTTAACAGATTTCAGAGATGAGGGAGAAAAAGGAGACTAGCACATGAGAATCACAAAACATACATGATCTTGCATCCTGAAAATGGGACCAGATGTGTAGGGCACAGACACTTGCATCCTAGAGAGTTCTGTATTATTTTCTATTGAATACTTATCCTGTGGTCTGCTGTCCACAGCATATTAAACACACACGCATGCACACACACAATCCACCATCACTATGTCACAGCACTATTTATGGTCAACAGTGTATGACCCAATTTTAAATGTCAAGCTACAGTTTGAAGAAGTGATTTAATTTCCATAGTATTCACACCAAAGACTGACACACGATAAACAATACCTCTCCCTATAAGAAAAGTAAAGCCTGAGACAGAATAAAATTAAATATTCAGTACCACTAATGCAGACTATTCCAACCTCAGCAAGACACTTGCCATGACCATATTTTAAAGCACCAAGTTAGCCTGTAAATACTCCATGGCATATCTGTGCAATAGGAACTAATCTGAAATCTCAAAGAAAATTTTAAAGTAACATCAAAAGCAAAAACATCACAATGGGAGCAGAGGAGGGAATTTGTACGGGGATGTTGAATTTTTCAGTTCTGGAGCAGAATGCTAAAATGCTGTTATGTTTTGCTGTAATCTACTGAATAATATTCCAGGATTGTCATTCTGAATCCTATACATTCTGTAGAGTCAGTGTGATGCAATGGAAAGAGCTACAAGCATGGCTATTAGCTCTGTTTGTTCAGAATATCACCAGGTTCAATTAGTGGGATTCATGATATGTTACTGTCCAATTTTTAAGTTCTCTGCCATTTTGACTTTACAAATTACATCCATGTGACAGTAAGACATGTACCTATGCCATGCCAGGAATCCTAGACCTTTGTGATATCAGAGGTAACTCAACCAACTATCACCCTTACTCTACAGCTAATTTGCATGCAAGAGTGTCATTGGTTGTATGAGTGACATTGCCCAGATGGCCCAACTGCCACAATTCTTCAAAACCACCCACACAACAGTACAACCAGCACATATAAAAACCCCAAATGCATGTAGTGCCTCACGTGTCATTCACCACTCACATAAATCTCCCAGCACAACACAATCCGTACACAAATCAACACAACAACCCAGAACATTGCTCTGAAGCACAGAATGTCTGTTGAATCAGTGAGGCAAAGGAAACAGCTACAAGCATGGTTGACAGCTCCGTTTAGAATATCACCAGGTTTAATTATCACTGGAAATCACTGTTTGTTACTCTCCAATTTTTAAGTTCTGAGCCATTTTCAGATTGTTTTACATACATGACTTTACAAATTACATCTATGCAACAGCATGGGTTTTCAGTTACTAGTTTCTGACATGGCTTTTCAATATAATAACTGTTGGAATTTTTGATTGAGTACCTCAACTGACAAAAAGTGCCAACGTTACACAAAACTTCCAATTAATAGCAGATATTGTGCCAAAAAAAGATGATAAAACACAGCAGTAACTCAGAATTTCATACCTGACTTTGTATATTACAAGTCCTATGAAACTAACAACACCCATCATTTATTTGTCTGGAGTGATCTGGATTTACTGGAGTGATCTAGCCACTCATTTTGTTAAACTTTATAGTATCTGAAAGTATCCTATTTTTCATTTATTGCTCACCCATAAAAACTGGCTTCTGTGGAGAACTCATCATAATACTTAACAGATTGCAAAAAGAATTGTGTATAGCCCATGACCATATTACTTCTCATTTAAAGACTGCAGTTACCTTGCTTTGCAAGTATTGCTGCAAGTTATGTATCACCATGTAGGGATGCGTAATTGTACCCTTGCTCCTTCTTAAACACTGCTTCTTGCACTCACTATGCCTATGAAGAAGCCTAGTTCAATGGCTTGGAAGGCTGGACTTCTATTATAAGGCAGAAATAGATCAATCAAGGAAAAGTAATAAAAACAGAAGAAAAGAAGAGAAATTGGACTTCAAACAGTTAAGTTACCAAGCATAAATTCTAGACAACCATTAGCAGGCTATTGAACTGGCTTGGAATGTCAGTGTGACCCATTGGTGACAATAATGTAAAATCATACTGTATTTTCAGTGGTACTAATTTAATGTATTTAGAAATTAAGAAATGCTGGAATTTTCTTTCAAACAAACAAAATTAAAGCTCCAAGTTAGCACAGCACAATTTCTTCCTTTTTTAAATATTCCAAATTTATATTACTATAATTATTTTCGACACAGCTATTTTAGTATGCAAGGCATGAATATGCTGAGGAAGTTGCAGTACAAGAAAAACTGGAGTCGGTCTTTGTAAATCTTAAATTAAAGACTTTTTACATCACACTTAAGGTACAGAGCAGTTTGTTGCCAAGCAAGTCCTGGGGGACAGCAGACAATAAACAGCATACATTCTCAAACATAATCACCTATGGAAGTGAATAAGTCTCCCTAATGAATAAGAAATTAATGACTAAGAAGATATTTATATAGTTGTTTATAAGCTAACCTATTTCTATTTTAGGTCACCATGGCCACTCCTAGTTGCCACAGTATTTTCCCTTTGCTAACATATTTCTAACCCTAAAGATAAGAATATAAATTTGAATGTAATTAACTCTTAAAACATTGTTTCCCCCCAGTGCCTCAATCCAGCAGCGAGAACCACAAGTGGTCCTTTATGTCCACACTGAGACCCACTGAAATCAATGGGACTCTGAGCATGCGTAAGGGGGTCACACATTTGGATCCCTTTGCAAGATCAAGGCTGTATATAAGTAGACAGACTGTCCTGTTTCTCATCCAGAAACAGGAGACAAAGTTTAATCCACAGTAAGATGAGTTTTTAGAAAGTGATTAAGAATAATAAGGAGAAGGGACTACTACTAAAATATACTTGCTGTATTAATGACTTTAGACACTCATGCCCTACTCCAATTACAAGTAGATTTATACACGTTTCTTTTTGGACAGTAGGTGGTGTTGAGAGGAGGAATATTTTCATTTAATGAATGACAAGACTGAGGTGGATAATTCAAGAGTCCTTAAAATATCTTCCTATTTTCTCCATAGAGTCTATCCTGATCATTCAGGAGATCTGTATATTTGCCATTGTTTGAAAGCTATAAACAAAAAGACTTAAGGGAAAATAGAGGGGCATCTTTTAACTTCACAGAAATACAGTGAATTAGAAGAGCTTTGGAGAGGTCCTAAGTAGAAAAATCATGGTAAATAAAAACACAATAGATGCTATCCCATTCCTTCCTAAACAGGAAGGCAATAAAATGCCACCTTTTACCGCTCTGTTTCTCTCACAGGGCTCTTGTATATATGGGGAAATGTCTGTGGTATCAGGTTGATTTTTAATGGGGGGTCGCGTGTAAGTACGGATTTGCCAGTATGTGACCTCCTTCCCCCGAGAGTTATCCTAGGGACAATGCTTCTTCACAGACACGCTGCTGGCTACACCCTCTACTCAAGGCCTCCTCTTGCTGGAAACAAGGGCATCTCACCGCGCTGGGTGAGTCGGGGCTTACATACACACAAAAACTGCAGCTCACCTAACTCAGGAGACGCTGCCGCCAGCTGCAAACAGGGTGACTGATCTCCAAGCACAAGCCCTTCGTGCCTCCACTGAGGGCTGGGACAGGAACAGAGCCCACCTCCCGCCAAGGGGCTCAGCCGGCCGGACGCGATGCCCACAGAAGACCGGCCCGGCCCCAGAGGAAGCTGGGGGTAGGGGCGCTCCCACAGCCAGGCTCACACGCTGGCGCGGTAGCAAGCATCGCCGAGCAGGGCAGCAGAGGGGGGCTAGGCTCCGATTCCTGTCACCTCCCTGGAGGCCCCGCAGCGCGGAACCTGCCCGCTGACAGCTCCCCGCCCCACGCCGCCGCCCCCTGCAGGAAGGCCCCGCTTCAGGCTCCCAGGAGGCGCGGGGCGAACGGCTGCCTCCCGCCTCCCGCCTCCCAGCGCCCTGCACAACAGCTACGGCGATCCCGCGCTGCTCCAGCCCAGCCAGCCGCAGGGCCCCTCTCCGCACCTGGGCCACCGCTCAGCCTGGCCCCGCGCTGCCTTCCCCGCCCCGCCGGAGCGGCCCCGGGCCCCGCTGCAGCAAGGGGCCGGGCCGGAGGGAGCCCAGCGCTTTTCCTCGCCCCCGCGCCCGGGGCCGTGCTACAGCCGGGGCCGGACGCGCCGGCTCAGCCGCGAGCGCTGCCGCCTACCCCTTGGCGTGCTCGGCCTCCTCCTCATTGTCGCCGTCGATGCCGCAGGTGTCCTGGTCATCCAGCTCCAGGCTCTGCTGGCTGGCCGCAGACTCGCTGTCCTCCGCCATCACGGGGGAAGGAGGGCGGGGAGGAGGGACTGGAAGCCTATGAAAGGAACCGGGGCGCACAGGCAGAGGCGGCCCGGAGGAGCTCCCTCTAGCTGCTGTCCTCCCCCTGCTCGGGGAGCGGGAGCCCCCAGCCCGGCTGCCACCCCCGCTTCCCTGGCCGGCAGGTAACGGCCGCACGAGCCCTGCTGACTCATGGAGCCCACACCGCTGGTGCCACTTCCTAAATAGCTGATTCAGCCCCACAGCAGCCCTCAGAGGGGGGCCTGAGCTGGACGCAGGCCCCTGCCAGTTGGGGGCGGATGGCAGCCAAACCTCAGGCTGGAGCTGGAATTCAGACTGACCTGAGCTGGCCGCACCGAACACCTCCAAACTGCTGGGAGAGCTGGGAATCGGGATCTTGAGGTTGGCCACTTGGCCTGGCTCTACCTGCCCCCCTTGCATCAAAGGGGCTGCATACTGCACCTGGCTGCTCTGACTGTTTGAAATGTACCAGCCTGAGGGTCAGTGGTAGCTGGGCCTCAGTCCTGCAGCAAACTCAGGCAGGGGAGCAGTGTTCTGCCCCTATGGAGCTCATTGCATGTGTGACATTTTGGGGTTCACTCAGGCCAGTAAAGGGTTCAGTCAGCATCTTGTAACTTGTGCAGCTTGGGCCCAGCGCTCTGACCCTAACTGCCTGCCGGGAGCCCACAGCCTCACCCTGGCTTTGCCCAACCTGGTTACTCCTTGCAGGCTGACCTTAGTACCTTTCCAGCCCTGAATTTGCCTCCAAATCTTCCTACTGCAGGGACCAGTCCCTCTCCCTGGCACTCACAGAGAAAGTGTTACGTTAGGTGCCTCTACAGAGACAGTAAAGCACTCCAACCTATTAGCTTTCTAGAAACCCACATTCCCTTGTCTAGGACACCTTATCATCACCTTTATCTAGGCTAGACTGTTTGGTTGTAAATGTGTTTAGAAACATCATACAGAGGAAGTTCATAACTTCACATATAAAGTTAACATGTATTTGGCAATGATATTAATAACCAGCGTGTTATTAGCTTTCATATGATACTTAACACAGTGTTGGATGTAGTGAGTTGGTTGGGTCTGATCAGAGACAGTATGGCCTATGCCAGTGGGCATTAAGGACTTAGGGTCACAGAAGGATTGGAGTCTTGCTGCCTACAGCCATCCAAGAAGTGCCCCAATGCCTGAATGATAGATATACTGTCTGATATGGCTTAATGCTATCATAGTGGCTCATGAATTTTATAGTTCTGTTTTAATAAAATCAACCCAAATACCCCTATACTAAGCCCAAAGTCTTTAGTTAAGACTTTTCAGTCCTCAGGAGACTAAGGGTATGTCTACACTAGAGGCTATGATACTGTAGCACCTTACTGTAGATGCTTCCTACGTTGACAGAAGTGTTTTTTCCATTGATGTAAGTAATCTACCTCCCCAAGCTACAGCAGCTAAGTCAATAGACAGATTCTTCTGTCAGTCTAGCTGCATTCCACACCTGGGGTTAGATTGGTTTAGCTACAGCTCTTGGGTGTGAATTTTACACATTCCTGAGCAACATAACTAGATTGATTTAAATTTAAATGTAGACCAGGGCTAAACTGTTGTGTGTCACTGAAAAAGAACAGAGGAGACCAAGGTGCCCCTAAGAACATAAGAACAGCCATATTGGGTCAGACCAATGGTCCATCTAGCCCAATATCCTGTCTTTGACAATGGCAGTGCCAGATGCTCCAGAGGGAATAAACAGAACAGGGCAATTTTGAGTGTTCACCCCTTCTTGCAGTCAGAGGTTTAGGGACACCTGGAGCATGGGGTTGCATCCCTAACCATCTTGGCTAATAGCCATTGAAGGACCTATCTTCCATGAATTTATCAAATTCTTTTTCTAACCTACTTATACTTTTGGCCTTCACAACATTCCCTGGCAACGAATACCACAGATTGTGCATTGTGTGAAAACGTACTTCCTTTTGTTTGTTTTAAACCTGCTGCCTATTAATTTAGCGGGTGTTCCCTCGTTCTTGTGTTTGGTGAAGACATAAATAACACTTTCCTATTCACTTTCTTCATACTATTCATGATTTGAAACACCTCTATAATATCCCCCCTTAATCAGGGCCATCCCTACCCATATGCAAAGTACGCAGCTGCGTAGGGCATTACGAATGGGCCGCCAAATTTCCTGGTGCCCTACGCAGCTGCGTGCTGCTCCAGCCCCTGCTTCGCCTCTTCCCCATGGCCTCCGTCCCATCCCCACCTCTTCCCACCCTTGCTCCGCCCCAGCCTTGCCCCTACTCCCCTAAAGACTGCAGCAGGGGATGGGCCTGCACTCACCAACAGCGGTAAGTAGAGTGACCTGGCCCCAGCCCGTTCTGTGCCACCGGTGAGTGCTGGGCGGGTGGTTCCCCCCTGACCCAAAGCCTGGGAACCAGGGGAGCAGAGCGGAGCGGGCTGGGTCGGGGCACTCCACTTCCTGCCGCCTCGTGAGTGCGGGGTCGGACCTGCCCTGCACTCACCGGGTGGCAGGAAGTGGAGCGACCTGGCCCCAACCCGCTCTGCTCGCTCATGCTGGGGGGCAGTTTCCCCACTGCCCCCCAAGCCTGCTCCTGCCCTCTCGCAGAGGCCTGGGGCCCCCCACAACCCTGCCCCCCCATGGGAGGGCTGCGTAGGATACCAAAATGGCTAGGGACAGCCCTGCCCTTAATCTTTTCTTTTATTAGCTGAACAGTCCCAGTCTTTCATCTCTCCTCATATGGAAGCTGTTCCATACCCTTAATCATTTCTGTTGCCCTTTTCTGAACCTTTTCCAATTCTAATATATTTTTTTTGAGATGAGATGATCTGAACTGCATGTGGCATTCAAGGCCCTGCAATGGCAGGGAATTCATTAGGACAGCAGTTTTCAATTTGGGGTCCACAGACTCTGTCTAAGGGGTCAAAAGAACATAAGAATGGCCATACTGGGTCAGACCAATGGTCCATCTAGCCCAGTATCCTGTCTTCTGATAGTGGCCAATGCCAGGTCCTTCAGAGGGAATGAACAGAACAGGTAACAGAATGGGTGTCCCCAAAATATTGTTGTTACAATAGAACAGTGGTTTTTCAGCCCACAGGGCTCTGCAGATTATATCTAAGATTTCCAAAGGGGTCCACACCTCCATTCAAAAAATTTTAAGGGTCCATAAATGAAAAAAAGGTTGAAAACCACTGTAATAGGGAAATGGCAGGGAATTGATATGTCCAGATGATCCTAGCAGGCGAACCATGCCCCATGCTACAGAGGAAGGAAACTCCCCTGCCCCCAAGGTCCCTGCCAATCTGACTTGAGGAAAAGTTTCTTTATGACCCAAAATATGGTGATCAGTATGATCCTGAATATGTGAGCAAGACACACCAGTCAGGCATCTCTACCTCCTCAGAGCACTGGTCCACCCCATCCAGTGTCCCTGTCTTCAGCTACAGCCAACCTCTGAAGCTTAAGAGGAAGATGAAGGGAGGGGGAAAGACTATAACTGGCCAATTGTGCATCAAGGAAAATATTCCTTCCTGACCCTGTAGGTGACCAGAAAAGTCTGAGATTTGATTATAGTTATCATTACCTAATGCAGAACTACAAGTGTTATGAGCATGTTGAGGGAAATGCAGGAAATCCTCCCCATGACCCATGCAGGAACATAAGCTATTTGGGGATATTTACTTTTCAGCTTTTCAGTAGGAAAAGGAGTTCTTAGAAAAAATAGCATGAAAAAGGCTTTAAACACCATTGCCCTACCCTATATGGAATATGTTTGATGTTTATTATATTTTAGGGTCTTTGACCCACTTAAGCCCTTTGTCCCTCCTTTTTTCTTCCAAAGTCCAGCTGTGCCTTCACAAGAGCTTCACCACTTACTGCTCTCCAACTCGGCGTTGCTAATTTTTGCAATAGTTGATGTATTTCAGAAATCCCCAGCTCCTGAATTCATGTGATTAAATCAGAATCTCAGATTTTTTTTTTAAGTAAGTTTCTAGTCCTAGTGGTTGTAGAGAAAAGCTTGAAAATGAGAAGCTAGTGCATTCTAAAGTTCAGAAACCAGAAAGCACATAAAAAAACCCTCAACCTTTATTGATTTTTTAAAAACCTCTTGATTTTTAATCCACATCATAATTTTGGGGAGGCTGACTTGTGATATTTGAATACTCAGGTTTGGCAATGTTGCCAGTTGCCTTATAGAATCATAGAAATGGAGGACTGGAAGGGACCTCGATAGGTTATCTAGTCCAATCCCCTGCACTCAGGCAGGATTAAGTATTATCTAGACCACCCCTGACAGATGTGTATCTAACCTGTTCTTAAAAACCTCCGGTGACAAAGATTCTACAACTCCCCTCAGTAATTTGTTTCAGTGCTTAACTAGACTTATAGTTAGGAAGTTTTCCTAATGTCTAACCTAAATCTCCTTTGTTGCAACATTATTTGTCTTGTCCTCAGTGAATATGGAGAATAATTTATCACGCTCCTCTTT